TAGTGTTTCCTTGAAGTAAGTTGGATGATCTCTTGCCTAAAACACCTCAAAATTTTGTGCAAGGTGGTTGGATAAACAGTGACAGAGTTTTCCCTTATTTTTCCCGATTTTCTAACATTTTTCTTGTATTTTCAAGGGGTATTTATAAAAAAAAAATCCGTCTGCTCTCTCCCTCCTGATTTGCACGCCCAAATAACAGATAAGGAGGTGTGTTTGCAGCCATCAAGTGTCTCAAATCTTCAGATCTCACCAAGTGGCATTTCTCTAGATTTTTCCACACAAATATCTCTTAATTTTGCATTTTATTTAATAAAAATGGCGGAATCTGGAAAGTGCACGAAATTGGGCCTTTAATGAGTCTATTGTGGGCCCCAAAAATGGTTTGGGCTGGCCCAAAAATATGACCCACAAACCAAATCACTATCCCAAACCGATTTGAAACTTTATCAGTTACTATTCACTAGTAACATTCTATAATTTTTCCAGACCTCTAAAAATTTATTTCTCTCTATGATAATCCACCTTTTAATATGAGAGCATGATTTGAAAATTTTCAGAATTTTTCACCACTTCTAGGTATTTATTTTGAATTTTCTCCAGTTAGGCCTTTATCGGTAAATCTGAGAGAAAATAAATTTTCTAAAATTAATTCCTGAGCCTCAAAGGCCTAAAACCAATTTTATAAATTCAAACACACATTTAGATAAATTTTTTATCAATCTTCTAAATTTATTGAGGCCTCTAACTCATTCAAATAATTATTTTCTTTTATTTCCCCAATAATTTCCCGGAAAACCTCAGTTTACAGGAAATTCCGTAATAATTCATTTTCACCAAAATTCCACCTTCTGGGCCTCAACCGAGTTTCCAAACCTGTACTATATACTTTTTCCATTTTTTGGGGATTTTTTGGAATTTTTTTTTCAAATTTTTCCGTTTTGCCCTTCCTAAACCGATAATTACAAAAATGCTAACCCGGACCTTTTCAGGGTTTCATATCAAAAGTTATTTCATCTCCCCGTCTAGTTCCTACATTGACCCTCATCTCAATTTTTTATCTTTTATTGCCAAATGAAAATTTTTGGGATGTGACAATATGACAATGGATTTGTCATCTTTTCCCTCTTATTTTTATTAAGCAAGGAGAAACTGTTTGTAGCTTTTGACGATTTTGGACTTTAGCATTATTTGTCTTATGTAAGAAGCCAATTTTGACTGTCCCACAACCATGTTGTACGTTTCTTGATTTTTTTAAAAATAAACTGGGCTTATTTGTATGGGATCTACAATTGGCACTTTTCACAACTTGTGGATGGTGCAATTTTATATGATTTTTACATTTTATACTTTGTTGATTTGTTGATTGTTGATTGACCTCATGCCGCATGGAAGAAGTTAGTGAAGAATTTTTCACCCAAAAAAAAAGTAGTGAAGAATTGAATATAAGAATATAAATGAAAAACTAGTAAATAATGCTGATGTTGAAATTTTTTTTTTTTTAAATTACGCGGGGGTGGACTCAAACGCCGCATTACAACACAGATCCCACTAACACACACGTAAGTACCACTCAGCCAAACAGCTCACTGTAATGTTGAAATTTTATAATGACAGATAATAAAGGGAAATTATATTAAACTTCAATCTTGGTAGTTAAAAAAAATTAATATTTTATCCCCGTGCTTTATCATTATTTTTTATTGAATTTTGTTCCTTTAATTTAATAAATTAGCTCATTCTTTATTTTCAAAAATACATTTTCGAGTTAATCCCTTTGTTATTGGAGTTAATTAGAGTCTTAAAATCTTAGTCATTCCAGCCTAATTATAAAAGTCCTTATTTATAATCAAATAACTTATTATAACTTTAGGTGATATATTACAAGCAGCCTATTATTACACGCAAGCGCGCGCATGCGTCTAAAAAGTTTAGCCTTGATATGCCTTGATCCTTTTTAATTCAATCCATACACTTACTTTCTTTTTAAGAAAAAAATCCATCCTCATAATCATCAAATAATGTTAATAAGTTAATTCATAAAGTTAATTTTACGTTTGCAAATGAATCGGACTTACGTACAATTGCCATCAATGACATTAAAAGTTTGATAATTTGGAAAGAATAAACTAGTAATTTAATAACCAAAAAAGATTGATTCAAATTGAAAGGATATGACTCATATCCCAAAAAAACTTGATGAGTTCAAATTTTGTTGGTAAGAGCTTTGCAAGTGTATTTTGTAGCATTATTAAGTCTTGAGGCTGAGTTTTCAACATTTTTTTAGGAGGACTTTTTAATTTGATGCAATAATGTAACTTCGATACATTAACAATAAATAAATTCTGCGCAAAAAAAAAGAGAGAAATAACGTGATAGATCCAATAATCCGCCAATGACGATTTCGAAATCCAAATTTTCGGCAAAATAAATGGAAAAAACAAAAAGTTCATTTTCGGCAAGGTATATTTTGTTTCTCGCTTTGTTAGTTAGTAGAAATTGCTGATTCAACGAAAAGTTTGGAACCAAATCAGTCAAAATTGATTAAATTTACTCCTTCTTATCCTAAACGTTTTAGGGAGATTACAAAATTGGTTGAGTTAACTATTTGTAAAAAAAAATATGTGTTAGTTTATATTAAAAAAAACTCCTTTAGAATACAACAGAAAAGGAAAATAAAAAGTGACAGAAGGAAATTCAAAGAAGGAAGCCATGAATCTGTAGAGGGAGAAAAGCTGAAATCATTCCACATACTTTCTATAATATTCTCTGTTATAGGTATATATATTCTTCTATTAGAAGTAATCTTATTCAAAGTACTATCAAACACTAAATATGGCCACCTTTTTTAATGGGATTCGAGCATATATTAATTCCTCACATTATTAGGGACTAGTTTCTTTCACTAAACCCAACACACTTTTTAGCCATGCCCACATCCTTGGTCTTTGGTTTGGGCTCTCTTTTGGATCACCAAAGTAGGCCCAATTCCCCTGGGATGTTATAGGAAACCTTCTTAAATATGTGAAATAAAGACACCTCGTGAGATTAATCTCTTACTATTTGGGTAGGAGGATACTCTGGACAACAAAAAACAAAGATAATTTAAAAATAAAATTATAAATATGAGAAACTAAATTGATTGACATGTTATATTTAGGATATCAAAATAAAACTCTCTCAATTAACTCTTATATTTTTTTAAAGGGAGAGGGAGTAAATATAAAGCTTATCTTTTTCAGATTCATTGTACTGTATCAGTCAACTTCGCCCCAATTAAACTCTTTCATTCATTTTAATTTGAAAGCTTTAATAAACGAAATAACATTAGTGTGTGTGTGTGTGTTCCTGTCTTTTGCTTAAACAGGAATTATTTAATTCCGATAAGAACGAAATAAATGCCAGGTCAATATTGAGTCTCATATAAACCTCTAATTTCCCATTACTTGACATCGAATATTATATTGAACTTTACAGCTGCACTGCTGTTCTCAGTCATTGCAGAAATGGCCAGGATTTCATTCACACGTATCTTCTTTCTTCTCATCATTGTTATCTCAGGTGAGTTAATCAATAATTCTTCTTTGATGTTCAAATTCTAATATGCATGAGAAATTTGGTGGCTTCTACATATATGTGTGCCTACAATGACTTCTTGCAGTGGCTACTCTAAAATATCACCACTGAAAAATCGCTGTTCTATGACGATAATTAATTTCACCGAGGAAGTGGCGCCGCTAAAATTTTGAGTGATGATAATTTTTTTAATTGTTTGTGGCGACTATAATATGTCACAATTGAAAATTCACTTTTCTAATTAATATAGCCACTGAAAGTATGTGATGCCGCTAAAAATTGACTTTCAGCGATAATTTTTTTTCACTTTTTGCGGTGACCTTTTGTCATTGTTAATTATTTTTAGTGATGACAAAATCAATTTTTTTATAGTATGGATACATGTGTGCACACATTTGTTTCCCGTTTATGAAGCACTAAGAATTATAGGTGAGAATTAAAGTTACAATTGAGAAAATAAATTAAAAGAGTGTTTAATATGAGAAATTACTTGATAATTAGAATTAGGCAAGTCTATGTGGGTGGGATTTGAGAAGACCACTTCCCCTCATGGTATTTGTCAATCCTACCTATTTAGGTTTGCTCATTTCCAAAAAGTAAGCAATCACTCATATTAAATACTTTTTAATGGGTTTTTTTAATCACAATTTCAATTGTCACCTTTTATTCTTAATGTTTCATACCAAATGAGATTTGTGTGTTTACACACACATGACAATCAGTGGGGAAGTGGGGGAGGCTTGGCGGCCATGACCCCTTTTAAAGATTTTAATTTTTCTTTATCGTACAATGATATTATGCATTTCCCCGTTGCAAAAACAAATTATGAAAATTTCATCATCTGGAAAAGCATGCCCATTGGCCATTGCTGCTGAGATGGGAAGATTTAATGTAAAGTTGTAATTATTGGTCAATTAAAGAATAAAAACTAGACTTTTCAACCTCTAAAATTCACTTTTAAGTTCTGAAAAGTCGGATTTTTGAGCGTGTCCAACTCATATTATTGTTGCAGCAGATCGGATTTGGATATTGCAAATAGCATATTATTGTTGGCTTTGTGATGTTATCTCTCAAATTTAAAGGTCTATGTTTTACAAGATGGAAGATGATTTTCTCGATGATTCAATGATTATTTTGTTTTACTTGAAAGTTTACCGCAAATATGAAAGTTGATATTTTTATGCCATGAAATATCAACATAACTTAAAAAAAATATGGATATATTTTTTTGATGATTTAATTAATTCTTGAGGTGATACTTGATTATTCTCAAGATACTACATCCGCTTCTTAATATGATATCTAGTTTGTAATCAAAATTAAATCTTATATTAAGGACAGAGGAAGTATAATTTATGATTCTCCATATATAGTTTGAGTTTTATAACAATCAATTGATTGATTAATTCTTGGTACGTCAATTAGCTATGGCAATGAGAGGTGAAGCTGCCAGATGCGTAAAGGTTTTGGATCCGAGCAAACAGTGCCTTCTTGCGAAGTGCCAAGAGGATTGCTTTAAGCTTAAAGGAGACCAAGCAGGTCGTGGAGTATGCGTAGAGAGTGTTAACCAGCCAGGCAGTTATGAATGCCAATGCATCTATAACTGTTGATCTCTCTCTCTCTCTCTCTCTATTCTCTCTTATTACTTACAAAATATTGCTGCTGGATATGCTATATATATGTGGGCGCGCGCTCGTCCTGTACACACTTTTGTGTGTATTTGAGTAGTAATACTATAATAAATAAAGGTTATGTGTGCGTTTAATAATGTTTCATCGCATCGTTAGTTATATCGTGTACTCCCTCCGGTGCATAATACAAGATGTTAGTTAAGCTTATTCATGAGGGAGAATTGCCATGGAATCTCAAACAAGGAATGTGATTACTAAGAAATCTTAATGATAACAAAACAATATGCAATGACAGGTTTCAGAGTAGTAAATGATAACTGTTCACTTGTCACTAGGATTCACAAATCAAGAAATGTTAGTTAAGTTTTTAAATATATTTTTAATTGATAAAAGTTATTTATTTTACCCTTATGAAAAATGTGATTGGAAAATTCTTTCCTCTCTCTGTTGCATTTAAAATTCTCTTTCAGCCTTGTAACAAGGGGTAAAAATGAAAAACCGTCAATAATTACCTTGTCAATCTCTTATACTCTGGATTAAAAATTTTTTTCTAACAGACTTTTTATATTTTTGGACGGAAGGGATTATATACTTAATTACAGTGTACTATGTAGCTTAAGCAACACTCACAAGTAGAAATTAATTTTAATCATTTGTTTTCTTTTTGGGTGATATAGCTAGTTAGGTAGCAATTCAGCCAATAACAAAAATATAAAAGGATTACGTTCGGAATTTTGAATGCAAATCTTTTGTATTAAGTTTTGGTTCAGTTCCGTTGGCAAAAAATTTGTTTTTGGTTCAGTTCAGCAGAAATGAAAGTTATTGTTGATTTACATCCTCTTATTTTCTTTTAAATTTGTATTGCCATAAGTATCGATAATCAGTGTACCATAAGCAGCTCAATTCATTCCTCATATACTTACTCAAATCGTTGTACTTATGACTCTCATCACTAAATACTTTTCTTAAGACAAATAATCAAATTAGGTAGATAAATATGCTGATTAAAATTGGCTAAAGTTAATGCATATGTGAAAGATGCAACTTATTTTCCAAAACGACCTTATGAAAAAGGTGGGTGGGAGGGAAACGAGTGAAAAAAACTATGAGAGAGAGCAACTGGGGAAAAGAGATGATAGACAGTTAATGGTAAAACTCAGCCTTTGGGCATGAAGGAGACTAGCATAATGTTTCTATCAATTCATGTTGACTAATTTAAATAGATTAAGAAAATTTATTGAGTTAGTTATTTGTAATAATTAGGTGTTGTCTTCCCTAAAATATCCTTGTTAATTATGTATTAGCTAAAACTATTATTTGATTGAACTTCTAACATATACAACTACTATAAGAATTATTTAAAATAAATAAATAAATATGAGAGACAAAATAGATTTGGGCTTTATATTTTAGAACCAAATTAAAAGTTAAACTAGTTCTAAGGACTGGAGGTAATATTATTTTTTATTTGCAAACAATAGCATCTAACATAACATTTTAGTTTAAGGCCCATTTGTTTGAGGTTTTATGAAAAGAATCATTTATTTTTGTGGGGAAAAAAATACTTGAGACGTTGAAAATTTTCAGGATCTCAAAAAATACATTTCTAATTATTTGGAGAAGCTACTTTGAGCAGCCTATAAAAATAATCAAATGTGATATATGAGATGTTTGAACCAAATAAAACAAAGTTTTATCGAGTATTAGTTTGGAAGCTTAAGAAAATAATTTACCTCTCTAAAAATTAACACTATTTCTGGTTCTACATATAAGATCTAGTTTGCAATACAAATTATATTGCAAACTAGATCTTTTATTTAAGGGTGGAGATAATATAACCCAACTGGCAATTGAATTCAATACCTGTGTCTGTTATAGATTTGTTCCTCTTAATATCAATCCTGGTACCTAATATTTTCCTATATTCCTCTAAAATATTTGCTCCCAAGGAATTAGCCATATGAGCTTAATTTGTCTTGTTGTGTAACATCAGTACTAAAGATGACTGATTATTTGTTACTCCGTTCCTCCTTTTTTATAAACAATCTTGAACTAAATCACATAAATAAAGAAATTAGTCAAAATTGGTTAAAAATAAAGAATGTGTAAAAATTAAAAGCCCTTTCTCTAAAAATACTCTTATTAATAGAAGAGAGGGTACAAAAAAGAGAATAAAAAAATTATAATAATAAAGAGAATTATGAAAGACAGAGAATGTGTGGAAAGAGATTATATTAAAATATAATATTCAGGACATTTATTTAGAAAATGATGTTTTGGTAAACAAAAAAATATATATATTAACTATTATAATAAGTCTTTAATAAGGGTAAAATAAAAAGTTTGCTATAAATATTTAAGATAATTTATAAATATTATTTATAGTTGATTTATTAGTGAACAGGAAAAAATATTATCTAGATGGGTGAATAGATTGACCTTAAAACAACAACGATTAATTACGATTGCTATAAAACAAGCGCGTATTTTATCTTTGTTACCTTTTCTTAATAATGAAAAACAATTTGAAAAAAGCGAGTCAGCCGCATTCTGAGCAAAATAGCCATTTTCAAGTAGTGTTCGATCGATTACATATTAATCAATATTTGATTGATTGGTCTGAGGTTATGGACAAAAAAGATTTCTCTAACTCAATTTGTTTCTTTTTGTCCAAGATAAGAAAAAGACGATGATTATTAACACAAAGAGCATTATTAAAGACTTGTCCAGAACATCATATCCCAGTACCTCTTTAATTTGACATATGAGACTGACTGTTGACTGCATTAAATAAAAAAAACAAAAGAAGAATGCGTGGTCAGTGTAAAGAATATTTGACTTGAAACTGGAGAAATAACTTCCGGCAAATCTTGATTCATTTTCATAGAATCATTTCCTAATACTGATTTATGAAAGAATAAATAAGCACATTTGTTTCCATGAGATATATATGTAGATAAGAAAATAAAATATACTTCCATATAATTATAAAATACCACTGTCATTTTTTTTTTCACAATGTTTTGCCTAATAATTATCATAAATTAGTATTGTGAAAGCTTTTTTTTTTGAGGGGGAAAAGACAAAAAAAATACCTTCAAATATATAAAATTCTAAATCAATGTTAGTGAAAAGCAAAATCTCATATCAGGACAGAGGTACTAATTTGGCATTTTCAAATATTGGCAAAAGACAAGTTTGCTATTAATAAAATGACAAAAAGAAAGACAGTGTAGAAAATAAGTTAGTGTGGTATATTTATATAAACACATTGTCAATTAATTTGAAAGCGTTATCAACACACCTAATAATGAGATAATATCTGATTTGCCTAAGTTTTGTAATTGGTTTGGCTTGTAATGAATTTTATTGATTACTTATTGTCAATATATATAATTGTTGTTAATATATTTGCAAGAATTGTCAGCGGTCCTAACCAGTTAGCAACATGCTTGGTTTGCCTTGTGATAAGTTTTATTGATTTGTTGTTGTTAATACATATAAAAGTGTTGTTAATCTATTTTAAAAAGTTGGCAACACGTCTAACAAAATTGTAATGAATTTTTCTAATTAGTTATTATCAATACATATAAAAGTGTTGTTGATCCATTTAGAAGAGTTGTTAATACACCTAACAAAGTTGTAATGAATTCTCCTAATTACTTATTTTTAATACATATAAAAGTGTTGTAAATTTATTTGAAAAAATTGTCAACGTGCCTAACATAGTTGTTAATATATTTATGTGAAGGCAATTAATGTGCCCTATTATAAATTTTTCATATTACTTATAGCGAATACATATGTAAGTGTTGTTAACCAATAAATATTATATAATTCAAATAGTGTCTTTCAAATACAAATAATCATCAGATGCTATATAGTTATTAAGAAGTTTAATGAAGTAGTAAACACCTAATTCATACACTGTCATCACAAAAATCTAATTAGCAACAACTGTGCTTACTATTTAGATAAGTGCTACTGCTTTGTTTTCTTTTTTTTCTTGTTCAAAAAGTTTCAAAGCTTTAGCACTATTTTTTTTTTGGTCACAAAAAATGAGTCAAAAGTCTCCATCAATCAAACTACACCATTTTCAACAAGGCATTCATATTTATGCACTCACTTTCTTTTATCTATATTATATATATGTATTTCTTCATCATCCTAATGATTCCTTGGGGCATAACTCAGGCCACCCTAGAAACAATAAAGGCCAACCCAGAAACAATAAAGACTGGTTAATCTTTGTAGAGATTAGGCGCTCCTTCCCATTTCTTAATCATCAAGATAATTATTCACACTTCCGCAATTTGTATTTTGAGATAGATTCCAGTTCTAGGATGAACAACTAAAGGGATATTTTCAGTTCGTTGATTTTATTGGATGACAAAGATGACGAGAAGCAACTGGAGAAGAAGAAAGCCATGGATTTTGATCGAAACGAAGCTATGTTTGAGAGTAACCAGAAGTAGCAAGCTCAAAGCTATGATTGACTATTATATATAGCTTTAGGACCTTTATGCCGATATGAATGAGCTCCACCGTTTGGGAACCAAAAGAGCTCATCGTCGTTCTACTTCTTCCTTCATTTCTGACAATGTGGGCTTTAAAGTTCCGATGCTAATGAGGTCTAGATCGTTTTCTTCATATCTGCGCTATTACTGGCTATGGATGAAAGAACGACAAAAGAAAGGTGAAAAAGGGAGAGAGAAAGAGTGAGGAGGGGGAGAGTTAATTTGGCGAGTATAAAGCTGATAGTGAGGTTGTCGTGGGAAAGGGAGGGAGAAAGAGTGAGGAGGGGAGGTAGACATCTGAAAAGGAACAGGAAGGGAAAAGATTAATTAGAGGGCATGGTGGTAAATTAACAACATTCCAAAATCCCAATTTGATACCCATGGCTTGATTTGGGATTGGTACAATTAAGGTAACTAATTTGGGCTTTATGAATTTTGAGGGCATTTTTATGGGATTTCCCCCCCTTTTTCCGTACTAGTGAGGAGTACAAGTTGATTGCATTGAAATTAATGTGATAACTCCTTTCTATTATATTTATAAGCTTTAAATTTAGGGAGAAATGTGATCCATTTTATAATTTTTATTATGGGTTTGTTTCAATATTTAATTCGTTTTTTTTAATTTTCTTATTAATTATTTATTCTCTCTCATTGTATTTTTTATACATTTTTTCATTTATTATAAGAACATATTTAAAAATAAAATTATATTTTTTACCTATTTATTATGTTTAACTAATTTTAAATAATTTTTTATTATACAAAAATTAGTTATTCAAGACTTATTGACAAGAGGAAGAAGTGATTCATTACAAAAGTGAGATTATCAATTTAGCAGGCAATTCACTCTTAGAGCCTGTTTGGGTGCCCCCAAAACCATAGTTTGGATGGAATGTCACCCAAATAGCATTAATTTTGGACTAATAATCTGAAACCATGGTTTGAACCAAAACCATAGTTTTGGAACCCAAAACCCAAAACTATGCATAGTTTTAAGAGAAGTGAATCCATTCTACTTCTGGCTCAAATTAGAGAGTATGATTGTGCCTATCAAAGTAGATCTCAACAATAATATGACTTTAACATCCCTTATTATTTTTTTATAAATATATTTAATCTTATATCTTATGAATATATATACATATTAATTATTTATTAATTACATTATTTTATGTATTATTAATTATGTTGGTAAAAAATATATTATTAACAATTTTATTCCTTCAAATTAAAATATATCATAAAATCTATTTTTTATGTAATTATCATATTAACTTATGCTTTTTTTTAGTAATTTGTATATATAAAAAGTACTTCTGATAATAACTATCCAAACACTTTCACTTCTCATAAATCACTTTTTCACAAAATCTATTCTCCTCAGAATCTATCCTCCAAAAGCTATTTTCCAAATCATAATTTGGTTTTATCCAAACACCCCTAAGGTACAAATTTTCACAAAATTTGTATATGTAGCATGCATGTATGCTTCCCTAAATTGCCAAGATACAAGATCGTTTATCAAACGCCGTTGAAATTGTAGTCTTGGGGGGTGTTTAGCTAACCTCAGAAGTGCTTTTTAGAAGCACTTTTCCGCAAATCGAGACAAACTCCTGTACATATTTACTTCATATACCGTAAAAGCACTTCTGAAACCATGATTTTGTTCTTACCCACACACCCTAGGCACTGCTAGTTGAATTGATGGAAGTATATTATTATTTTAAATAAAAGAGATCTTCCTATTAAAACAAGAATAAAAATTTCTGTATAAATGTTTTTGGCCTAATAAAAAGTTACAAGTTATTTTATATTTAGATAAAAAATATGTACGCATTTTTAAAAAAATGGATAATTGATATTTACTATCTTTAATATTTTTCAAGTGTATTTTAATTTTGAAAGAATCCCATTTAATTTAATTGAAATATTAAAATTAAAAATCAGGGTCTTCACTTTTTAATAAATAAATGATTAATATAAATTTTGGCCCTTCAAGTTTATCCTCATTTTGGTTTTGGTTTTTCAAGTTTTAAACTATAGATTTTGGCCCCTCAAATTTTTTCCATTTAAAACATCTTATAATCCATTAAAAATTTGGACTATTTTTTCTCTTGAGGATCACAAAGTCATAACCTATAATTTAAAACTTGAGAAACTAAAACTAAATAAGAACAAATTTAAAACATCAAATATTATATTCACCTAATAAATAAGAGTTAATTTTCCATCTACTTTTTCCTCTGAGAAGACGAATAGACGTGTGAGGGTAATAAGATCACTTCTGAAATAGGAATGAAAGCAGAAATGGCATGGCACACGACACAGTACCGTACTACTCAGTCCTTACCGTTTCCCTCCTTTTTTGTCTTCTTCTCATTTTCTTTTCTTCAGCCTAGACCATCTTCTTTCTTCTCCCGTTTCTTTGGTCGTTTTCATCTTCCTTTTATGATCATGAAGAAATGAAACTTATGTGCTAAGTCTTCTATTGCTATATCTTCCCAAGTATGGCAATGCGCTTTAGAAGTTGGCTTCTTGGATTCCACGGATGAACTCTGAGAATTTGTATCGGTCTCCTTTTCAGATTCACCTTACTTAAGACACTCAAACCGAACTGCATTTTGCTCTCAGGTCTTCAAAAGTTTCAAGTCGTCTTGGTGCGTGTTTGAAAGCTCGTTGAGAAGGTTAGACCACGTTCGTACTGGATTGCTTGTTATATTACACCTAAGGCGAGGTTCTTCAGTGCAGATCAAGTGAGTAGTGAAGCGAGTCATTTTTCTTCAAACTTCTTCCGCCATCTTCTTCGCCTGGTCCTTCTATTTCTTCTATTTGCTGCTGGTTTTTCTGTGCGCGCCAGTGAGTTACTCAAATCTGACCCTTGAAATGACTTGGTCAAGTGATCAGCGACCTGAGCATTTGAGTTAATCCAGCCTTAATCTCTAGAGGGATCTTCCTTTGCGATCCCGATGGCAGCTGCAATTTCAGAACAAACCTTTATAGATATTTGTGTATTGTTTTTTTTTTTTTTAATTCTGCATGAAGCTCAGGTATCCGCATCCTTTCATAGAATCCTAGGGCTAAAGCCTTTAACTCAGTTTTAGCGTTAATTCTTGTCACAACTGATTGTTTTTAGCTTCTTAAGATGACTAGATTGCCCCGGGCATAAACAGAGTATCCAGTAGGAGATCTTCTATCTAATATTGAACTTGCCTAATCTGCATCGTTGTATACTTCCACATTTCTTGTTTCAACTCTACAAAGTTTCAAAATTTCACAAGTCTTTAAGTATCTTAGGATTTTATATGCAGCCTCCATAGTTCTTTTTGTGGCTTGTTCATGAGCTGGCTGACAATGCTTATTCGGAGCCTAATGTCTGGCCAAGTATGGGATAAGCATATTAACTTCGATAAACCTTTCAAACCACACTCTAGGCGTCTGCTTTAATCCATACAAAGACTACAAATCTTTGTAGGTTTGGACTTTTCCATCTGTTTGTTGGTGCGCTTTGCGCCTTTGCCTCTGTTTCTTCTGTAGAGTGTCTACACTTTGCTTCTGTCAGGCTGTGTCGTCCTTGTTTCCATCACATTTTCATCTTCCAGATTTCTGGGTGAATTTTCATGGCTGTGTGAGGTTGTGTCTTGGTCATCAAGGAAAGCTCTTACCTTTCCAAGAGTTTTCTCAAAAAATTGAATCTTCTCCTTACTGAGCCTTTGATCATCAACTTCTTTTCTCTCATCTCATGAAGCGACATACCCTTTAACTTCAGCTTTCTGCTTCTGTTTCATATTTGGGGGATTTCCATGCAACTCCCAGCATATATTTCTAGTGTGCCCTCCCTTGTTATACTGGTCACACCAGCCTCTAGAGGCCCTTTTTCCTTTCTGATCAGTAACTGACACTTCTTTTGCGGCCAGTACAGATGCTTCTGGTTGCAAGCTATTTCCTTGGGTGAACTGCTTTCAGCTTTCCTCACACTTTACCATATTAAAAGCTTCAGATAGGCTGGCAGAGGTGTTAGGAGATAAATATTGTCGAGTCCAAGCAAAAATCCAGATGTGTATTCTCTCTCAACTATTTGCTTCTATTAGAAAGAATCAAGGCTGCATCTCCGCTTATGATGATCATACAAATCTACTTGTTGCCAAAGATGCATGAGTGAGAAGTAGTATTGGGTCACGGGTGCTCCGCCTTGCTTTAGGTTTCGGAGTGGTCTTCTAGCTTGAACTAGAGATGCTATGTTCTCTGTTGTTGAGAATGTCTGCCTCCTATCCTAGATTTGTTTTTCGGTGTTGTTTTCCTTTGTTTCATCAATAATTTGTTTCAATAATTTAAAAATTCATGTTCTTTTCTACCTACAGAGAATGGGTGGTGGAAGGAAGACCAAGCAATATACATTGCCAGAGAAATCAAAAACATCATGGTCACTGAACTGTAGCATAAGTGCCAGAAATCTTGGGAAGGCTGAGTTGGCTGGAGTTATCTTCGGTTGCACAAACAATACAATGGAGGAATGCATTTCCAAACAGCTGTTTGGTTAGTTGATCTTTTTCCAAATTCCTAGCTTCTTAGCAAGCCACCATTGTAGTTGCTGTTCATAAAACAAACTGAATTTAATGTGAATTCACTTTAAATTGTGGAACAGGCCTACCAGCTTCTCATATCTCTTATGTAAAGCATATTCGACCTGGTTTGCCACTTTTCTTGTTCAACTACAGTGACAGGAAGCTACATGGTATATTTGAAGCTGCTAGTGAAGGGAAAATGAACATTAATCCTTGTGGGTGGAGTGAAAATGGTTCAGGTCGCACCCGATTTCCAGCACAGGTATTTCTTGATGTTACATAATAATTTCAAAATTGGTTTCATGCCAGTAATCATTTCCATTCTAACATACCTATTTTTTTGTCATATTTTTAAGGTAAGGGTCCGAATTCAGATGCAATGCCAACCCCTGATTGAAGATAAATTTGGTCATGTAATCATCGAAAACTATTATGAATCAAATCACTTTTGGTTTGAATTAGACCAGAGTCAGACAAGTAAGTTGATTTCTATGTTTACAACTTCACCAGTTTTTGCAAGCAATGCCCTCAACGTTGAGAGAGTCAATTTAAATTTGAACCCTAACTCATCTATTGTGAGAAATGGGGATCATTCTACTGTGCATTCAAAGGCTCACATTAGACAAAGTTCTTTCAATACTCATGGTTTGGAGGAGGAAAATTGGTCACTGAACATATCAAACAATGAAGAAGCACATAGAGGGGGGCAAGCAGAAGAAATTTGTCTCCAATCTCATGATTTTGCTTGCAAAGACCAGAGTTTTTCCCTTCCTCAGAAAAAATGGAATGAACCATTTGCAAAATCAATCACTACTGACAGTATATCGGCTCCTTCATCTAGTAGTCTTGATTTTGATGGGAAAAGTAATTCTTTGCAAGATTTTGGAGGGGAATCTGGACAATTTTATGAAGAATTTGATGCCATGAAGCAGCACACGGAAACCCAGGGCTACTCTCTTGGAACAGACAATGATCCCTACTTTCCTCAAAAGGGTTCAATGGAGATCATGTCTCCTAAGACTAATACCTCAGAGGGGAATATTTCTTTGTTGGACAGAGCAGAGACAGGAAACTGTTCCTTGCCTGAAGAAGAGTTTGTTTCAGATGTCAATTCACAGTCTACTATGAACAAGGTAACTTGTCGTCTTCTGTCCTTAAACCCAGTTATGCAAATAAAATGCATTGATTTTTGTTCCCCCTTCCATTGGTTGATTTTAACGATCCCTACATAGTGTGATAGGACTTCTTCTTGTTGTTGTTGATTTTATAGATGCTAGAGGAAGTCCATCAGTTGAAGCTCAATCAAGTCAAACAGGATCAGAAAATTAGATTGTTGGAGGAGGAGTTGGTATGAATCCGACCATTATTTAAATTTGACTTTGTTGTTGGAAATAAGAGTTATTCTATTATTGGTGAGGAAATCAGAATGTATATTATTATTTTCTTCCATCGCCATTTGTACCTTCTGTACTTATAAATGATGATGCTCTTTGGCATGTCAAATGAAGCTGTTGTATTTTGTGCATTTTATTCATTGGCAAATTCAGGTTGAATCAAGAAGGGTGATAAAGAACTTGAACCAGCTATTGGAAATCTCAGAGCGTAGCTCACGTCAACAAACTGATCTTGTTAAGGAATCTGCGTCAAGTATTGGTAAATCAATACTAATAATAGGAGGTTTTGATGGGGTATCCCACTTATCATGTTTAGATTGTTATTGTCCTTCTCGTGATTCATTGGAGTACCTTTGTCCAATGAGTTCTATGCGCTCATATACTTCTGCTGTCAAGTTGAATGGTGAAGTTTATGTTATTGGGGGTGAATGCTATAATTCGTGGTATGATACAGGTATTGGATGCAACCTTCAATTATTCTTTCCCCTGTTTCATTTTCGTGCAAATTGTTTTTCTCTTTGCTAAATTGTTCTGAAATTTATTCTCTTGTTGTGAAGTTGAATCGTACAATTTGGAAAAGAACCAGTGGGTTACACGTCCTTCAATGAATCAAAAGAAAGGAAGTCTTGCTGGGATATATTTGAATGAGAAGATTTTTGCAATTGGTGGTAGCAATGGAGTACAATGTTTTTCTGAGGTTGAAGTATTTGATATCAATGTTGGAATGTGGATCCCCTCGAAATCAATGCAAGATAAGGTATTGCGAGCCTCCCTTAGTTTAATACATTAGACGTGCACGTTATAGACTGCATACATAAACATATGAGCATAAAAAATGCTTGATCTACACACTTGCTACTGAGAAGAAATTTATCAGGAAATGTCAACAGATTCTGCAAGAGTCAAATTCTGACATCCTATGTTGATTCTTGCCTTGAAATTTTTTATCTTAATACAGTTTCTGATCTTTTTGTTTTTTAAAAGAAAATTACAATGACTTTGTTTCTTGATAGTGCATAAAAAGCTTCATTGAATTGATAATTTTCTTGAATTAGTGTATGAATTACGAGCAATAAAAATTCAGTCACATTTTCTCTTCAATATCTATACTGTTAATTTGTTCTCGAATATGGTTTGCTTTGTTGACTAACATTTCACTTTATTCTGCCAGAGATTTTCCCTTGCTGCAGCAGAAATCAATGGTGCAATATATGCTGTAGGTGGATATGATGGAAAAGACTACTTGAAGTGAGATTTCCTTTTGGTTCTCCCCCTACAATTTTTTGCCATCTGACTGCTAGTGCCAGCATATTTTCAAATTTTACTTTTTTGCTTCATCTAAATCAGTTAGGCCATAGAGTGGTGGCGATGGAAACATATATCAAATAATAGCCATGAATATATATCGTCATTACTGATATACATGTTTGGGATATGTCTGGGAGAAATGATTGTTGAATTTCATTGATAGGGGCATAAGATTTTTTATCTCCCAAAAACCCAACTTTTCTGAATCATGAAAATTCTAAAGTAACCTTTTAAGTTTAATTTCTTTATATCTAATAATATTTGTTCTGGGTTGAATGCTTATTTGGGTGCATGACATTTATTGCTTGCTTTCTATACCCTTCCTTTTGATGGGTGGAGATAATTTCAGTGCTATTAGCTGAAACTTGTTTTTATCTCCCTTCATTTAAGTCCCGTTACAAATCCAATTATTTCTCAGACCAGAGGCACATTTAACTGTGGTTCTCAAGTATTACTTTCATTCATTATGGTAAACTTTATGTTTGGTTTTGACTTGCCTAGAAGTCTTAAGTAGATTTATTGCAGCTTGCTTACCAATTGATGTGTAATTGAGTATGAGTGTATAATATGGTTTGGAAATTAGCATAATAGACTTCACGGAACTTTAATGACGATATGGTTTTCTAAAAAATTTTCTTGTTCTATTTAAAATACGAGAAAGCATACCAGAAGCATAGATAATAAAGCTAATAGCCAGAGAACAGCAGTTCATCAAAGTATTATTTCCTTATCAAAACAGATGCAGGGCTTAAAAATGTTAAAAGAAAATTAGTCGTGTAGCTGAACAGAAACACAGGAAAGAATAAAATGGAGCCACAAGACTGCACTTCTATAGGCCAGAAACTATACAAAATTCAGCATGCCTTTCTCAGCCTTGCTCTTTCCTTCTTATTCCTTCTTAACAAACTGTTATCAGCTTAAATTATAGAAATCAACTGATTTATTCATGTGTCCCTGTTGACTTCCCAGCCCAAAGCGTATTGTCTTTGTTTTCCTTCTCTAATGTTACTCCTATCATACAACTTGGTAATAACTAATAAGAGTCCATCAGCTTGGTTATCGAACTCTTTTTTTCTAAATGGTGTCACTAACTTTTGCAGACCATGACTAGATATAACTGTATGTAGGAGTTTGTAGAAAACTATAGCAGCAACAACAACAAGCCTTATCCCACTAGGTCAGGTCAGCTACATAAATTACACAACGCCATTTACTCTATCAACAACCAAGTTCTTAAATATGTTGTTAACCAGAAGGTCTCATTCAATACCCTCATTGAGTATTCTTCTCGGTTTTCCTCTGCTCCTTTTTATGGAACTCTATATTGTCTGATCTACTCTCCTCACTAGGGGCCTTAAATGGCCTTTTCTGCATATGCCTAAACACCTCAAGCGATATTTAACCATTTTTTTTCGATAGGCGTCACACCGACTCTTGTTCTGATATTTTCGTGTCAGATGTTATCTTTTCTTGTATGACCACACATCTATCTCAACATCCTCATTTCTACTACCCCAACTTTATGCTCTTGTTTTCCCTTTATTGCCCCACATACACAACAATACAACATAGCTGGTCTTATAGCAGTTTGATAAAATTTTGCCTTAAGCTTTGCAGGTACCTTCTTATAGTAAATAACTCCGGTAGTCTTCCTCCACTTTAACTGACCAGCTTGTATGCTATGAAAAACGTCTCCATTAATTTCACCATCCTCGTGTACAATGGATTCTAGATATTTAAACTTTGATACTTGGAGTTTGTGGAAAACTAATTTGTTTAATTTCTTTGGAGGAATTCTATTTTATGATCGTCTGTAATATACCCAAAACGAAGTACTTTGATTCTTTCATGTGACTATTATCATAAGCTGTGGGAGGTTTCTTTATATAACTGTAAGTATCACTTTTCAAAAGCAAATGGTGGGAAGATTAGAAACTGAAAAGGATTCAGCTTTTATTCTTCCTTATGCAACTATGTTCAAAACTTGTCATTTTATGACTCGTTTCTTTGTCCACGCTAATTTTGAGTAACAATTCCTTTATTTCTCCAATATAATAACAGATCACTGGAGAGATATGATCTTCGGGAACCTTCATGGAGAAGACTTGAGAGTATGTCCACAAAGAGAAGCTGTCATTCTTTGGCAGTCCTCAACGAAAAGCTGTAAGTTGACTTCCTATTTTACCTCTTATTGCTCGCCCATGTTTGTAATTAAGCCACTGAAAAATAGCGCAACTTCATGATGGGAAATAAACAATAGGAAGGATTTATTTAGTTGTTAGTGATTTATTAATGCGGCTATATTTCGTTTCCCACAAGGCTTTCTTTGATTGTTTCCTATTTTATGAGTTCTCTTGCTTGAAGTTTAAGTTAGGTTTAAGTTATTATTTTTAATGATTGTTCTTAGGGCGCTATACGTAGACCTAGGATTATTTTCATATAGACCTTTTGATGAATTAAAAGATTGAGTAGTTGCTGTCTATTTCTCCCTCCTTTCTCCTTCTCCTCTTCTCTCTTGTCCTGCATCAAAGGGCCGCATGGAATGAACTCATAAAACAACCATGGAGTCATCGTCCCGGGTTGTTGGGGTAAGTTTCATATCAGTTGTAATCAAAATATAAAGGTCGTGAAGAGATCAGTAATTTAATCAGAAGATAAAAGTAGCAATCCCAAAGTCAATGGAAGCTACATTTACGCTGTAATTTAGCATCCCTTTCCCCTCCTTTCTTTTCTTGATTCCCTTTCCTTCTCTCAACTCCCATGTATGCAGAATGGGAGAGTAACACCTGGTGTGTGTTTAGCGGAAGATATAGAACATTTGTCTTAGAAATCTGCTAACAACAAGAAGCTCAGGAATGATACAGAGATATGCATGCCTAGTTTTATTTGAATCGGTTAGATAAAACGTTTGAAGTTTGTTGTAATTTTGGAGAAATTCAATTCTATGATAGTCTTCCATTGAACTTGCCATGTGTCCTCATTCCATAGAATTCAATCGATATATCTAAAATTATGAATGATAATATTCACACTTAAAAATGTGTTTTTATGTATCTTTAAATTAAATTAGCGCCATTCCTACATGCGAGGGGGCAAGCCACTCGAGTAGTGAGGAGTTTTCTTGCTTTATTGTCTACTTTTTCTCTTCAAAGTTCAGTTCCATTTATTTTCTTTCTTCAATTTCCCATTTCAATCCTACCAAAAAGTCTTCCATCATATCAAACGGGCATAACAACAATTTTGGAGGGAGACCTGGGTTCACATCACAAAAAGATGTTAGATACTGAACATCAAAGTAATTTCTCTGCAGATATGTCATTGGTGGTTATAATGGCGAACAGATGGTCTCAACAGTGGAGATGTATGACCCTCGTGTGAATCACTGGACGATGGTTGAATCAATGAATAATTCTAGGGGATTTTCTTCAGCTGTTGTTATTGGAAACTCAATTTTTGCCATGGGAGGTTTGGTTGAAAATAATGTTTCTAACAAGGTATGTGACATCCCTCTGTTGAACTTCACCGGGAATGGGTTGAGATTATTTGATATTTTATAAGTACTGATTGAAATTCTGGAAACTAATGTCATGGTAGCCTATCCCAAGCATCAATTTCAAAAGCACTTCAAATTGGGTGATTCTTGTTTTATTCGTAGCTGCCAGTGAAACAGATCATGGCTTTTCAAGGAGCCATATCCTTAAATCTGGATCAGCTCAACAATTAGGATGTCTGAATTGAAACATACAATAGATATATCAGCCAGAAATAATTTCTGCTTCCCCAATTTCATAACCTCATGGTACTACGCTGAAGTGCTGGATTATTGCTTTGTTTTCCGATAACCTCAGGTGGAATATTACACGGAGACTCAAGGCTGGCACTCTACTAATCTTAAAGCTCTTGGCAAGCGATGCTCCTTCTCTGCTGTAGTCCTGTGAGGGTATGGTTTTACTTTACTGTATATATGTTCCCCTTCTCAAAAAGATTAACTTGCCCTCATTTTTCCTTACGTGGCTGCGCATAAAGTTTAACTCAAGATCTTATTATCTGAAACTACCACAGGTGTCTGAACTCTTATTCTGGAAACATTAACCTTGTTTGGTTTTTTTGGTAAAACAAGGACTTGTCCTTCATTCTGGAACAACAAGCAAGTAGGGGACGAGACTCAATGAAATGAAATGTGTTAATGAGGTTTTGTTCTCTCCGAAAGTAGTTAGCGTTGACTTTAGGTTCGAGGTTTATTTGGGAAATTGTAAAGAGTATGCTGTGTTTCGGAAAAGGAAGGGGGGAAAATACTGTAGACAATATCTTGGCTTGCATGGATCCTAGTCAGCACATAAATTGTGTTGTTCTGTTCTTATTAGATCTTAATGTAAATTTGAAGAGGATGAATGTTAAAAATCTTTATCTTGATGTGCAATCCTAAGCTGAGCATTAATTAAATTTAAGTTTCTGAACGCTTTGAAAGCTGATCCAGAAATTTGAAGCCCTATTCTTATCATTTAAAAGAATTTTTTTAAGCTGTTTCCTTGTTTATAAAATTAAAAACTAAGAGGATGTAGAACTTGTATTCATAAAATTGAGCCAAATCATGACTAATGTGAGTAAGCATCTGTATTTATAGGAGATTTCTTTTTTAGAAATAAACGCGCAAAATAGACAAATGCAAGTTAGTAAATATTTGCAATTAAAATAAATGAATTATAAAGAATAGACGTATAAGTTGTTGTCTCAAGAACAATTGTAAATTAATAAAAGCTAGTAAACACTAAAACACCTACTAATACAATATGTAGTAAGAATCTAACTATGTTGCTGTTTATTCATGTCAAGTTGTTAAAAAACCCTTTCTAAACCTTTTCTAAATCATTTGAAGCGTTTTGATTATTTGAAAAACTCGATCTTGCTCTTTTACAAGAGATCTAAAAAAACCAGGTGTCTAAGAAACTAAAGATTAAACCTTCTTGATCTAATCTTGCTAGCCTTCATGTTATTTCTTTCATTGTGCTATATCTCTTCCAATTTTCTCTCATTTTTCTCCTTATCTTTATCTACTTCTTCAAGTTTCTTCTCTTCTCCTTCACATTATCATCTTTTTAACTTTGATAAAACTATATAAACAAGCTCAACTCCAATCCAAGTTATTAAATCAAGTAAGCATGATATAAATATTGATAACATGTAAGAATTAATATCATGCACATTTTTTGCTCTAGAATTTACAATCACCAAAACTAAACAAATACTAACAGAAATCAGCTACATATTTGGTTTTAAAAAAAGCCTAAAAACATCCGTATTTTTATTGTGCACATGATTAACTAAACATCTATAAGTACCAAAATACTAACTCCAGCTCTTAATATAAAAGTTAGTTAACTAATTTGAGTATATTAAAAAAATTAGTTATGTTGGTTTTATTGGCCAGAACTATCATTATTATAAAGATTACCTTGGAAAATAAATAAATAAATGAGAGACAAAGTGGATTGAAGTTTTATATTTAGGACCAAATTAAAAGTCAAACAAGCTCTTATATTAAGAACTGTAGTATTATATTCTTGAGGATAAAGATAATCAAAATGAATTTTGCAGTAACAGTTCAAATTTCTAAATTCAAAAGTGGATAATGACTGTTTGGTTTTATGTCCTCGAACAAGGTTGTTCCCTTAGTTTGAAAGAAAATATTGAAATTTAGCAAAATTCTAGTTATACTTTCTTAAATAGCCAAATATGAATCATAATTGTTAAATAAACGGACTTTGGTTGTATGCTTGTTTAAAGAAAAACAACTACAGATTTATAATTTAATTATTTGGCTGTTTATATTGTTTTTTCAGTTTTACCACAACAGCATAAATAGATCTCTATGTAATGGGGTTTCACCACCTCATACAACTCTAGTAGACATTGTTCGAATTTGAACGAGAGAGGGAAAAGGCTTATAAAGAATTCAAAGAAGAAGAACTAAATATGGATGCAAATTTGAGAATTATTTATATTTCTGCTTTATTCTTACTACCAGCTTCTTCAATTATATCTCAGCCTGTGTTTTCTTATATAAAAAAATATGGTGGAGCACCTGATGGAGATCTAACCTCAGCAAGTATTTATCTCTTCAACTCCTAGTTTGAATGTTCACTACAACAACAAAAAAATGGGACAAAAGAACTACTCTTCATTACAAATTGATTTTGCAACAGATTATCCCTCTGTAAATATTTCTTTGGTGGCTTATTCACAAAATTTCAATCTCAAAACTTGTAGGACAAAAAATAAATTTTGTCATAATTTTTTTTTTTTTGGCTAACACAACTATATCTACCTACAATTTTTTTTCATATTACAATTTATTAAAATACACTCGAGTTGTTGATTGATGTTGACAAGAGCTTGGAAAGAGCATCGAAAGCAGCATGTTCATGAGTTCATCAACAAGTGCAAGCAAAATTTCTGTGGCCAAAGGTACAAACAATTTGAGACAAATAGATTTTAATAGTCCTTGCAAAGCTCCGATTGAACTTCACATTGAAGGTAACATTATAGCATCAAAAAACCCTAATCAATTCAGTGGAGATGTTCAATGGCTTAGATTCGGATACATTGATTCCTTTACTTTGTCTGGTAGTGCCACTTTTGACGGTCAAGGCTCAATAGCTTGGAACCAAAATAATTGTCATCAAACTTGGAATTGCAAAAAGATTCCCATGCTAATTAATCAATTTTACTCATGAAACTTACAAACATGTGTGAATTTCTTATATCATCATTTTTGAATTTCTACTTAAAATATAACAAATGTTTATTTTCTAAATAATAATATGAGTATATATTTTAACATCATGAATTAATTCTCTCATTTGGTTAAAAAATAGGTTAACAGAAAGAAAGAAAATTATAATGATTTGTGTTTATTTTGTATTGCCTATCATTTTATCTCTTTTTATTCAAACGTCTTCTTGTAGTAAAAAAAAATCTAAATCTAGAATGCACTAAATTTTTTAGAAGTCTAACTTTTTTTTAAAACTCTTCTGGAATTTTGGTTTCAACTTCCTGAACAATCCAGTCATCCAGGACATAACATCAAAGCATAGCAAACACTTTCACGTGAATGTTTAAGGGTGCCAGAATATTACATTTAGCAAATTTTCCATTGCGGCCTCAATAGATAGTCTAAATGCAGAGGGAATCCACATTGGAAGATCAACAGAAGTGAAAATACTTGACTAGAACATTAGAATAGGAGATGATTGTATCTCATTTGGTGATGGAAATAGACAAGTGATTGTTGAGAATGTGACATGCGGACCTAGCCATGGCATAAGTGTTGGAGGCCTTGAAAAACATGAAATAAAGAACCTGTAGAAGATTTGGTAGTAAAGAATTGCACTTTTAAAAACTCTGACAATGATGTTAGAATCAAAACTTGGCCTAATACTTCAATAACAATTCCAGTATCTCAATTGTGTTTTGAGAATATTGTCATGATTAATGTCACAAATCCTATAATCATAGATCAAGAATATTACCTATGAAAGCAATCTCTCTCTCTCTCTCTCTCTCAAAATGGATACATATTTATACATGTAAAACATAGTAAACAATACAAAATTAATTTAAATCTTAAACAAGCATCTTAAAATGCAAATATGCGTTTCAAAGTAGTTGAAATTTATAGGAAAAATTGTATTTGCGATGCAAATTTTGGAATTTTACGGGGATATCCCTATGTTTGTGTACTGTTTATACTGTTCGCTTTTTGATGTCTCATTTTTGAGTTTCTCTATCTATTTTTTACTACGTACTTTCTCTTTTCTTTCTTCTTCCTTGCATTGCGAGTTCCTATAATAGACTCCATGGAAAGTAAAAGTCAGTGGAGTCTCCTTCAAGAATATCAGAGGTGCATCAACAACAAAGGAAGGAATAATTCTAACTTGCAGTGGTAGTGTCCCATGTTAGAAGATAAAACTTACAAATATTAATCTCAAATTCAACGGGACTCCTGCAATTGCCTCTTGTAAGAATATCAAGTCTTTGGGAATGTGCCAACCTGTACTCCTTTGAATATATTATATTGATTCATCTAATTAAAAATATCCATTGTAATTCAAACTATCATTGTCCGTTTTCACTTTGCTATTTTCTAGTTCAAAAATTATAATGTTTTGACAAATGTCAAGCCCCAAATCTTTGCAAAAGTACAAACCCAAAAGGAAATGCAAATGCAAATAACATAAGGGAAAATGATATTAAGGTCCCACACAAGCATAAATACAGCAAAAGAGCCCCCCAAAATCTCATAATTTTTCTGAAGTCCCAAACGGACTTAAGTGCAATTTTCAGAATCTTCAAATTACTTTGTTGCCCTTGCCATCAGAAACAAAGATGGTGGGTGAGGAGTTCCCATGCAATATGCTTGAGAGAGAAGACATTGGGAAAGAGGGAAGGAGCCATTGATGATGAAGTATCTTCTCCGTTACCATTAGTGAACTTCAAAGAGCTTCCATGTGAATCTCTACAAATCTTCAAGTATGGAACTTTCTTTCTTTTCCTCTCCTGCCTTTCTTGACAAATTGTGCATTTGTTTGGAAAAGGGAAATCAGAAAATCATTTTTGTCTTTTTGGATTGCTTGTGGGTGGTTTTGGGAATGGAATTCACAAGTTAATCAATAGAAAAGCTGTGTTTTTGGTTGGTGTGTGTTGGTGATTTAAGTTGGGTGTAGGATGATCATGGGTGCTCTGTTTTTGGATTGCTTGTAGGTGGTTTTGCTCTATTCTGACGTTAGTTTAGTGGCAAAGGCAGAAAAAGATGAAGGTTAGTGTGGGTGGAAACCCTTAGCACGAAATGGGATATTGTGTTGTCAATCAGACCACGATAGTTGTCAATACGTGCCGTGACAGTTGTCAATATAGCTCCTTGATTTGTCAATGACAGTTGCGTGATTCTTGATGTAGGTTTAAATTACTGATGGCAAGTACATCTAGAAAGCATCTATTTTGCTTTGTTCATATAGGTGGAAATTTTATAAATGATGGAGAAGATGATATTAGATATGTGGGAGGTAGTGTAAGAACAACAAATATAAAAGAGGGCACAAGTTATGAAGAATTGAAGGAGATTATATCATTAATTACTGGAAAAGAAAGCAACTCATTTCTTTTGAAATTCTCAGTTGTGTTTGACAAAAAGATTTTTGTGGGGTTGGTAGATGATGATAGGGTAGAACATTTGATAAAGTTCAATAAAGAAAGTGGTCATGTGTATGTAGAAGAGAATGGAAATAAGGACCACATAGAAGTAATAAGGGATAATACAGAAGTAACAAGGGATAATACAATGGAGGAGCAAGATGTGTAAGTTTAGTTTAACAAATCTGTTATTGTCATTTCTTGGTATGTCAGTTGTTACTGTCTTGTTATCAACTTGTCAATGCATGTACTCTGACTTGTCATTTCCTGTAGGATTGATCAATCATTTAGAGGTGTCAATTAATTGTTTATGTCTCCACCTACCTTATTTGATGTGATTGGAGAGCCATCATCAATTCCTTGTACTGTTGAAATGATCCCAACACCTACACCACAAATAAATTCCACAAAATGGAAGGATTTGATTATTGGAGGAGGACAAATATTTCCAAATGTCACTGCTCTCCGAGAAACACTATACAAGTATAGCTTATCCCAGAAGTTTTCATACCTTTTTATTAAGAATAATCAGCAAAAGATCATTGTGAAGTGCAAGGTTGATGGTTGTCTATGGTATATGGGTGCATATTTAATGGGAGCACATCAAGATACTGAGTTTTTAACTATCAGAACATATAAAAGTGAACATATTCATCATGCACAGGACAACTTAATTGTTTCTCACTCAGGAAGGTCAAATTTAACTGCTTTAATTGTGATTGATGGCTTGAGGTACAATGTTGACAAGAGTCCTAATGAGATTAGAAAGGACTTGTATAAAGAATATGGAGTGCAATTGAATTATACTCAAGTATATAAGGTCAGGAAGAGAGCACTAACGGAATTACATGGTCGAGTAGAAGATTCTTATAAGGTAATCCCTTGTATATGTGAGAGATTAACGGAAACTAATCCTGATACAGTTGCAAGATGGGAAGGCTCAGATAGCAATCGATTTGAGAGGCTATTCATTGCATATGGATGCTCAATTGAAAGCTTTGTGTAAGGTTGCAGACTAATTATTTATATAGATGGGTGTCATTTGAGTAGTCCTTACAAAAGAAGTTTATTATCTGCTTGTGCATTTGATGCAGACAATGAGTTGTTTCTCTTAGCATTTGGTATTGTTAACCGAGAAACAAGAATCAGAAGGAGATAACCAGATTAGCACAGGTAACAATTGTCTCAGATTAGAGTAATGCTATCATCAGTGCTGTTAGGACAGTATTTGATTGTGAGATACATGCTTTTTGCTATCAACATGTGAAAGAAAATTATAGTGCGTAGTATGTGAAAATCAGTAGAGGTGTGAGACGAACCTCAGAAAATAACAAGGAGAATGCACTTAATTTACTTGATAGAATCGTATATGCAAGGCATAACAATGAGTTTAATGTTGCAATGGGAAATTTAAGATTGTTTTGTCCACAATTGGCACAATGGGTTGAATCTCATGGGGATGTGGATAGATGGGCGCAAAGTAAATTTCCTTTTAAGAGATGGGGTAACATCACCAATAATCTTACCGAGTCTTTTAATGCATGGATGTTGAAAGAAAGGAAGCATGTCTTACCAGTTTTGATACAAGATCATTAAGAAAAGTTGGCGAAGAAGATGGTTGCTAGCAAAATGGGGATGAAAAGCTAGAAAAATGGTATAGGACCCAATATTGAATCAAAGTTGTCGGAACAAATAGCAAGAGGTGCGTATATGGTAGCAACATATTATGGTGATGACCATATTTCGGTACAAACAATACGTGAGGGACGTATCATCTATGTGACTATTGATCTTATTTCTCACAGATGCACATGTTTGGCATGGTAAATGAGTGGAATACCTTGTCCACATGCATATGCAGCAATGAAGCTAGTTCACCATAGCGTGCATGATTATCTAGATGAATGTTATAAATTGTCCACATAGGAAAAAATATATGCAAATAGCACGAGGCCAATTACAATGCATGATTGCCCACAGACAGATGCACATATTGTGACTCATATGCTGACCCAAACATTCTTGCATCCACCCATAACTAGAAGGCCTCTAGGAAGGCCAAGGATTAATAGGATAGAATCTCAGTTTCAAAATAAGAAGGTTTATCATTGTGGAAGATGCAAAGAGCCTGGACACACTGCCAAGACATGTAAGAACCCAAATCTCAGCTGAGAACATATTGAAATCAACTATTTTTTGTATATGGATGTGAAGGGAATATTTTGTAAATAGGTGTGAAGGGAATTTTTTGTAAATGAATACACACCAATAGTTAGTTTCTCGTTATTACATGTAACCCCTATGTTTTTTTGGGATGAGTTATGAAATAGGTATAGTTTCATGTATATGAAGGTGTAAATAAAAGTTGGTTATTGAATTGGCATGTTAGATTCTACTGTGATTTTAGTTGTCATTACTTGCACCTTGCGTTGTCATTAGACATGTTATGACTTGTCAATCATTGCACTATGACTTGTTAATGAATTTGTTGATGTAAGTTGTCAATAATATGAATTCAAGTAACATAACCTTTTTTACTATCAAATGATATTTTCAATCACTCTGTCATATTATATTTTGGTTATATTGTCATATATAATCATTATTAATGAAGTGTCAAAAGCTTACCTCTTCCTATCCCCTATCAATAGTGGCATTATGACTTGTCAATGGTAGCACACTAACTTGTCAACGGAGCTCTGTGTCTTGTTAATGAGAACATTGTCCCTTGTCAATAGTGGCATTATGACTTGTCAATGGAGCACTATGACTTGTTAGTGAGAACACTGTCTCTTGTCAATGGTCGCACTATGACTTGTCAATAGAGCACTGTGACTTGTTAGTGAGAACACTTCCTTGTCGATGTTCGCACTATGACTTGTCAATGGAGCACTATGACTTGTTAGTGAGAACATTGTTTCTTGTCAATAGTTGCACTATGACTTGTTAATGGAACATTGTGACTTGTTAATGAGAACACTGTCCCTTATCAATAGACACTTTTAGTTGTGAAAATTTTGAATATCAATTGTTAATATCCAGATATTCATTTGTTATGAAATTCTTATATCACTTGTCATTAAATTAGAATATTTTATAAAACACTGTCCCTTAATATCTCTACACATATAAAACAAAAATGTAATTAAAAATGTAATAAAACCCTAAGAAATTAGTATTACAACATGTGATGACAAAGGTAATAATATTATAAACATAATATGATCAGTTTGTTACAAAATTACCTATTTGCCAATCATGTTACAGCACATATCATGGGCTAACAAAATAAAAAATTAATAAACTACTCTATCTCCTCTTCTTGTTGTTGTTGTAGTCTGATAGTATCGACATCACTTCACCCCATGTTCATTATTTGGATGGGTAACCAACCACCACAAACAGCCAACCTTCAACTCTTGTAGTTCATCAGTGGAGTATCTTGGTATTGTAGCCAAGAAAGAACATGAACTCCACATGAATCATTACTAAGGAAATTGAATATGTTAGCACCATGCAATTGTTATTGTGAACAAAAACAACATAACACAATCAAACAAAACAACTACACTCACATATCATTCAACACATAAACTTTAGCCCATTTCACTTCGTTCTCAATTTTTTCCTCATTGGCAAACAATTCTGGCTTAATAGCACGCAACATCATATGGAAACAGTTCATCTGCAAAAAAGAAAAAAAAAACACATAATCAAAAGTGATAAGCTCTGTCGTAGGAGTTTATCAAAAATTCTAGTTTGCAGAAAATATGTAGTAATTATGCAAGTCCTAGGTCGATCTCTTGAGGAGCTAAGATTCCTTGAAAATCAGTTAAAAGAGTGTTCAACAAATTAAGTTGAAGAAAAATTATCCTATGCAAATTGTTGGTTCAAAAATTCCTTTAAAGAGTAGAATAAGAAAGAAAATGATCAGAAGCAGAGTATCAAAAGAATAGAATTGAAATCAACAAATTGAGAAACTTCCTTCGGAGAATTCCCTAGCCTTTATTGCCTATTCATATTTCGTTTGCATTGATTAGAAAGATAAATCTGAATATGCCTTCTCAGATTAAGAACATGAAATGCATTCAGAGCTCCTAAATGAATACTAACAGCATCCATTAAATTTTTAATCAACTCAGTTACAATCTGATTTGAACAAATCGAAAATCATAACCGAATCTACTCCGAAACAAAGAGCATTAGACACCTAAACACATAGCACATTCAAAATCCTGATTTAACAATCATAAATAAGTACATAAACTCAGCTAATAAGATCAGAAATCACACGTTCTGACCAGAGAAGAGTATTTCCAAATCCAGAAAAATATAATATGAACAAACTCCCTTTCAAGCTCCATGACTCAGGCTTTTGTTGAATCTCCAAAGGAAGAAGAAGATTCAGCTCCACATGGCTGCAGGTATGGCTTGGGTAGATCTTTGGATTTGCTTCGCCATTGCTGAACTGATGCAAATGGGCGGTGTGGCGGAGAAGGCGAGATAATCTGAAGTCGAGAGAGAGAGAGAAAAAGTTAGGAAAAGAATGTCTAATATCCCCCATGTGTATCTCTCCTTCTTTAATAATAATATATCATTTTCATAGATCCTCCGGCCCCCCACTTCTTTCTTTAATTTCCGTCAATTCCATTCGGTCCCCACACTTCATCTTCAACTTGAATTCTTGGTCAAAGAAGAACTACCCACGTGTCCCTCAATGCAAGTTGAATTTGTGTACAGCTGGCTAGCACAATTGGTTTCAGACTTTCTTCAAAAACTCCACATTTTGGTATTCTGAAGTTGGCTCTGTATTTTCCCAATTTGCCCCTAAAAAAAATTGCAAATCTGAAACAATATTAAGGCTCTCAAAATATCATTTTTTTCTATTAATTCCAGTTAAAATTTTTCTAAACTCCCATTTATTTTATACAAGCAAAATGTGATTAAGGAGTTTCATCAAAAAGGCTTCACTAACAAAACAGCATCCAATGATAAGGGACAGAGCATCCAATGACAAAAACACAGCATCCACTAACAACTAACAGAGTATCCTGTGACAACTAACATAGCATCCAGTGACAAGGGACAGAGCATCCAATGACAAGTAAAACAACATCCAGTGATAAGGGACAGAGCATCAAGTGACAACTAACAGAGCATCCAGTGACAAGGGACAGAGCATCTAGTGACAACTAACAGAACATCGAGTGACAACTAACAAAGCATCCAATGACAATTAACACAGCATCCAGTGACAAGGGACAGAGCATCTAGTGACAAGTAAAACAGCATCTAGTGATAAGAGACAGAGCATCAAGTGACAACTAACACAGCATGTGGTGACAACTAACACAGCATCCCGAGACAACTAATAGAGCATCGAGTGACAACTAATACATTCAATGACAACTAACAGAGCATGCAATGACAACTACGTAGGCCACTAGCGATAACTATAAGAGTAGTCATTGACAAGTATAACAGCAGCAAATAACTACACACAGTCTGTGTTGCCATAAACTGTTTGGGATTGAAGTGCCCTTTATTTGTCCTCTTTTTTTTCTTCGCATCATGTTGTTGCTCACCCCTTTCTTCTTCGCTTCTTCTTCCTCTGCTTGTAATTTCATGAATGTGATGCTATCAATCAAGGAGTCAAGGGCGTAGAAGGTCATGGTTTTTGTCTTCAAAACATAACAAAACCAGTGATCTTCAAATAACATAGGACCGAAAAGGAAATTGCAATCCCCTATATTGTACCCAATATATTTAGGTAATATTTCCATTTCATGGTCCTCCCATTTCCATCTTAAAGGATTGGCTACCATGTTTTGCATGAAATCTACAGAAAATATATGTCAGTTCACTCACCCCTCTTTATTCTTTTGATCTCCAACAAATGTCTTTGCCATCATAGTCATAAACTAAAATTACAATACAAAGAAATTACAACTCTTTACCATCAAATAACTCATTCTAATGTTAACTATATACATGTAACTTACCTTG